GAAGGTAGGAAAATTTTTGAAATTCGTCCACCCATTCCGCAACCTTATTGGCGTCCATTAGATGGATCCTACCATTCTTTCAAGGTCTATCCTGTAGTTAAAATTTTTGTATGCTTSGTGTAATAGTTTAGACAATTGTGAGCATTATTTGTAACCTGACAAGCATATGTAAACTAGTTATATGACAAAGTGTATTTATAACCATACCACATATACATGTTCTATTTTAGGGCATCCATTATGTTTCTTCCTTTCTCCTTAACTCTTAGTGCATTGGTTAACATAGAAACTTTTGCACTAAAATAGAAATTGCTATAAATTGAATTGCATGTAGTGTTACATTGATTGACAGTTCAACAGTTTTTCTCCTGGTAAGACTAAGCCGAATTAATGAGGGTATTAAAACTGTGATTAGGTGAAGTGCTTAACAGTCCAGCCCAGTGTGTCTATTGGAGTCCAAAGCGTACCAGTAGTTGAGGCCGGCCGTAACATGACAGCCTGGCCGCTGAGAAAATTGGCCAAATAAGCCAATTTTCTTGACAAATCTTCTTTTCAAGCATTTGGTGGTTGTCTTTTTGAGAAAGTCAGAAAGCACCTGACAGAAAATAGAAAATGTGCATTGGGTTCAACTTGACTCCAATGGATGCCCAATCCAACCTGTTCACCATCTTCTTTATAACCAAATAGTCAAGACAACGGTACCAGCCAACTACAAATTGATTAAAGTGAATCAATTATCAATCAACAAAGAGGGACAAACCAAATCAATTATCTATTTCTTCTGGTGATGGCTCCAAAGATTACTGAGTTCCCATTTGGGAGGGCTTCCATGCAGCAGCTTATTGCATTACATGAACTGAGAAACCCGTAATGCCATGAAACCATATTTGGTAAAAATTCAGAAAGTGGAAAATAAGCTTACATGAGCAATAAAATTGACTTTCTGACGAAACTATCTCAAGTAGCTTCTCCAAAGCAGTTTATCAATCAACTTACAAGTCCTCCCAAACGGGCTATGAATTCAAAAGAATCAAAGTCTTGTAACAGACGAAATACATGGACTTAGTTCTCAGTGCTTGAATTCATTATTAGCCACACCAATGAATTGCTTACTATGAATCAAACTAAGAAACAAATTGAACCATGAACCCAGAAATAATTGATCTCGTTATCAGATAATGAGAATCAGGAGAGAGCTATTGTGTGGGAGTGAGACCCTTTAAACAATGTTTCCTGTTCTTTTACATGTGAATGGTATGTCGTGCCATTACGAGGTTGCCTGAAAAATCCTGTTAGTTACATTTCCATGGGGCCTAGCCTACTCACCTCTCCTCAAGAGCTTAACAGTAGCCTCTAGGTAATCTATCAGAAAGGACAGTCCGTATCTGATCTGATGGGCATGTTCTGATGATCGTAACTCTGACTAGTGATGCAGTACAATTCTGATTGATTATGGGACTACTAATCATATGTTTTCGTATCGTCCAAAAGGTCTTGACCAGATAACTGGGTTAGCTGGCAGCCAAACACGTGGCAGATCAGAGATGTACACAGTACCACGTGCACTTGCAGTGTATTATTTAGTAGTACATAGAGGAATCGCCAAACCTTATACCCAAACTCCCAAGTCAATGTTTGGTATCGTGGGCGTTTTTTGAAAAACTGTGCTATATTGGAGCCACGTCAAAGATTCCACTTTTCAACAACACCTACCATACTGTTTGGTTCAGGTGATTTAAAAAAAAACGGAATAAAACGCTTTTGCATGTAAATCACATTCCTCCCGTTGCATGAAATGTTTCATGCATCAGCGAGCCGTTGCCCCCAACGACTATATGAGGTGGCGCTTACATGTATCCTACATGTCCACTGAGTTGTCGATGGTTAGAATGTTCTGGTGCTTGTCGACCCACTAGAATTTCAAATCCAATGGTAAGTAGGGTTTTACTATACTGTGCATTTTTCTTTTCTACTGTCGAAGTTTCTCCCCTCTTGCTGCTCAGCCGTTGCAATCGTCGTTAAGGGAGGTTGTTGCTGGAGGAACGTATTGTTATATTCTTTTAGTTTTTAGGATTTTTACAATTTTTCCATGGAGAAACCTCTCTAATACTGTCATTTTCGCATTTTTTGTATCTTCAAGAGGAGTTTACAGAGCATCGCCATCGTCTGGTCCATCCTTCATCTTCGAGCAAGAGGTTAGTACCGGTGTTTACATCTATTTTTATTCCTTGCCAAAAGATGATGAGTTTGTTCACGCCTTGCGGATCTTTCACCCTGATTTGTTTTTATTCATGCCTTACGGATCTATTTACATATGTTTTTATTCATTTTGATACTTTGTTTTTATTCAAGCCAAAAGAGGCTGTGTTAAGCACATTTTTGGGTAGTATAATTTGGAAGAATTTACCATCAAAGTGTGCTTAACTCAGAAACAAATATGAAGCCCAACAAGAGACATTTCTTCAATCCCTCAAGAATCCCAAAAGACCCATAACTAGAGAAAGGAAAAAAACACAACTAAAATCCAACTTCTGGTCAAATTTACAATCACAAATAAATCTGAGAACACCATTAACCAATATTAACAATTTAAAGAGCACACAAAACCCAATATAACCAATCCATTCAATAGAACTAAATCAGAGAAAACTCAAACCCAATAGAAAATGACCAATATCCCATTTGCCCCAATGATACAGCCCAAATCTTCCAATATGGTGGTCTCAAGTAAGGTGAGCTAAAAAAACCAAAAAATTGAACCAACCAAAACTGAACCGAAAAATCAATTAATCGAACCGGTCGGTTCGGTGTTTTTAAAAAACTGATGGTACTGGTTGGGTTTTGGTTAACCAATATAAAATATCGATAGTTAACCGAACCGACCGGTATACATATATTTCTATATATTTTATATATATTTATGTATATTATATATTATAAATTAATAAATATGCATTATATATAAATATATATTTATAATTTTTTATTATATATTTATATATATTTTATAATAAATATTGTAAAAATTAAAAAAAACCAAAAAACTGATGAACTGAACCGATGGTTAATCGAACTGGTCAACTAGTTAAACGATTGGCTTTGGTTTGATTTTGATTACCGGTTTTCAAAAAACTGGTAGTACTAGTTCGGTTCAGAAAAACATCCCACGGTTCGGTTAACCGAACCGTGAGCACCCCTAGTTTTAAGAGTATGCTAATATATTGGTTTCTCCTACAACAAATCTAAGTCTTAAGGACAAACCACTCCAGCCCAAGGAATTTTCAAGTTGTAGCCCTAGTACTAGTGCTACCAAAAACTGGTAGTACTAGTTCGGTTCAAAAAAACATCCCACGGTTCGGTTAACCGAACCGTGAGCACCCCTAGTTTTAAGAGTATGCTAATATATTGGTTTCTCCTACAACAAATCTAAGTCTTAAGGACAAACCACTCCAGCCCAAGGAATTTTCAAGTTGTAGCCCTAGTACCGGTGCTAATTGCTCTGTCCTAGTGAATTACTCTCCCCATTTCTTACTTTGAACTTTGCACCTTCTACAAACAAGTAGTAGGCCTTTTTAGTATCACCTGTGGTTTTTTAAAAAGTCCTATTTCAAATAGTCTTTGGTTGCCTAAGGCCCATACAATGAAATTAAGTTTATGATAGGCCACTTTGTACCTTGCCTGAGTCTTTTTGTGTGGGAGGTTTACCAGTTTAGGTGTAGTGCGCTTAAATTGTATCATACTCTATAAATCAGGAAAATAAGTGTAGTGCATCACAATGGACTGGATTTCAATTTGAGAGGCCATAAATGAGCTTAGGACAAATCACAATAGCAGGACAAGAGTAATGTCTTTGTTGCAATAGCAATTCAAGTGGTGCACCTATATGATGTTGAAGCCATTACAGTATCGAGTTTTGAAACTTAAAACTCCCCCACTTGAATGTTCTGAACCTTAAAACTCCCCCACCGTCAATCTTTTTAGTTTGAATCTCTTCCTTCAATTGAACACAATTGATAGTTCCTACTTACAATCTTTCTGATTTATGGACTCAAGGCCACAACTGGCACTTTACATAGCTACAAGAACACCCAAGCTTCATGGACCATCAATACACATGTATGGAAAGTTGTGTATATGCAATTTGCAAAATAGGGAAGGAGCTCATAAGGCCACCTGCACTCACTGAAGTTCAACCATTTATTAGGAAATCTAAGAGATATTACCCAATGTTTAAGGTAACTACACTTCATAGTTTATAGTAATTTAGGCTCTCTCCACATTTATTGTTCTAACTATATTCATAATTGTGATCATGATTGTATGGGGATTATAGACAGTACACATGTATCAACTAGTGTCTTAGTTGCTGAACAAATACCGTATAGAGGAAAGAAGAAGGTTTGTACGWCAAATGTTTTGGCTGTTTGTGATTTTGATATGTTCTTTACCTTTGTATACACAAGATGGGAATGATCAATACATGATTCAAAGATATTGGCAGAAGCACTTAGTAATCCAATGTAGGGTTTCCCAATCCACCTCCAAGTGAAGTAGAAGTTCCTTAGAATTGCCCTTCATCAGTTGTCTTCATCATTTGTGTGTCTTCACATATGGATTTCAATGCAGGAAAGTACTACATTGTTGATTTTGGATATGCTAATGCTCCCGGTTTCTCTGCCCCATACTCTGGTGAACGATACCACCTTAGTGAGTTCAAGAGACATTTCGGTAGATTTAGATCAAAGGAAGACCTTTTCAACTGCACTCATTCTTTACTGTGTAATGTCATCAAACGTTTCTTTGGGATCTTGAAAGGTAAATTCTCCATCTTGAAAAACATGTCATTCTATCAATTAGACTTCCAACGACTTCTTGTAATGTTATGTTTTATAATATACAACTTCATAAAATAAGAGGCGTGTGAGGATAAACACATAGATGAGTATGCAAAGGGTTATGAAAATGACTCAAATGATTGTTCAAGTAGTGATGGTGATGGTAAAGAGCACACCACAACTGCATTGGGTTTGAGCAGAGAGATGGACATGGTTAGAGATCGAATTGCTTTTGATCTATGGGAGAAGTACCAAAGGTCTACCCAGTGGGTTACATAGATTTGTGGTTTATGCCAAAACATGTGAAACTTGACGTTAGGATTCAGATGAAGAAGATGTTGGAATTCAAACTACGATGATGTTTATGTTGTTATGGATTGAACTTTTTTAATACTTCATCTATTTTAAGTTTATATATTTTTATGCTCACTTGTTGATCATTATTGGATGTTTACTATGCAAGTTATTCATGCAGAAATGATTGATGGGATGTTCTTACCAAACTGCTCTTGTGGTAAGGGGAGATGACACATATGGCAAGGACAGAAACTAATTACGAGCGATGGTTTTTACATTGCCCAATAAGGAGTAACCATAGGAGTTCATTTGTATGAGTAGATGAATATGGTGAAATTCGCCATAGAGCACTTAGGGCTAAAGTTATCCAACATAGTTTATCTACCATACAACCACAACAAAACAATAGATATTTTGCATTCATTGCTTGTTGTGGTTGTAACTTAGTTTGTCTTCTAATTTGGGTTTAGCTAATAATTATCCTCTAGTCTTGGAGCTCATTAAATAGGATGGATATGTTATCAAACTTGATGGAAATATGTTATTATCTGAATTTTATTTTTAAAGCATTTAACTATTGTTATTTTCTCAAAATTCATTTACTCTATGTGGGAAAATATTGTCCAAATGGAATGGTAGAATGAAATGGTAAAGGGTTATTACATGCAAAGTAAATATGGTTTTGTTTGTACTATAGGTGATTGGATCACTCGCAATTGTTGGATATGATGCCATTATTCATGCTGATGTTGTTGATTTAATCCAACAACAATTTCAACCGTTGGATTTAAAATTTTAGGCTAGATATCATAAAGTAACCATCCAATTAATCTGGACCATTTGATAAGCATCGTTGTATAATATAGTATGATATTAGCGTGTACCATCATACGGAGTAATGTGTACACATACATGAAAAACAGTGATGGAAAATCACCTTATCAAACATTAGTGTAGCTTACTGCCTGTGTGATAGAAATACTACCAAACATATGAAGGTGTTTATTTGTGAAAAACGGGTTTAACAAGCATGGATGTTTTCTTTTTGAAAATCAGTCCCAAAAAACGTTCACACTTCCAAACACCATCCAAATTATATTTTTGGGCCCAACCATGCTCTCATGTGAATCATGTGAAAGATTTCACATGTTCTACTTAGGTTTGCTCGTGAACTTGCCTAATTAACCTATTTAGGCAATGAAAATATGGTACGTTTGAGTTTAGGACTGTTAATACTTGACATGATACATGAATACAATTCAAATATGGTACGGAGTTAATGGTTTAGGTTCACCTTAATCGTGTTCGTGTCACAATCTTATCGAATTAATCATTTAATACAATTAATAAACATGCCAATTCGACTTAAACTCAAAAATGACTTGCTTATGACCTGAAGTATCAAGTGTTATTATATTATTCATGTATGTTTGTAACTTTTGATGAAATACTATCATGGTAGGTAAGGATGACATTAAATGGCTTTTATGAGTTTAAGTAATGGATGATTGAATGCTTATTGTACTAATTAAATCTATTTAAGGTCATTTGGTTTGCCATCGGAATAAGAATGGTCTATATTCCCATAACATATTTGATTCAAATGGGAATGGGAATCAAAATTAGAATCAACTGGAATGAGATCTCATTCTCAAGGGAGGGAGACGAAATGGCCATTCCCTTAGATGGAGGAATACCATTCCACCAGATTCCCACTCCTGGTGGAATGGCATTCCCCCACTTGAGAGAATGGCCATTCCTTCCCCCTCCCTTGAGAATGAAATCTCATTCCTACTTATTCCAATTCCTATCTTAACCAAATAGATTATTGGAATAGATCATTCTGATCTTAGTTCTGAAGGATTTTGATTTTAATTTCAATTTCAATTCTGACTATAAACCAAATGGACCCTAACATTTCTGAAATTTATATTGTTTGAGTTAGATATATATAGTGACTTGAGGTTTATGCTTGTATGACACCCTCATCTCTAGTTCCATGTGGATAGGGGTGATCATGGGCCGGCCCGGGCCAGGCTTTGCCTTCATAACAACGGGCTTAGGCTAGGTCCGGCCTGCATTATGGGCCTAAAAATATAAGGCCGGGCCAAGATTCCGGGCCGGGCTGGGCCAAGATTCCGGGCCTATTTGTTGTATTTTAGTTCCAAAATTAAACAATTGTACATTTTTTTCACTTATTGTCGTAGAGACTATAGTAACCTATAAGAAACTTTAAACTTAATATCAAGATAAAAGCTTCTAACATAAAAGAAATTAAATAGTTATACCTTGTAATTTATAAGTTTCAATTGATCATTAGTATACTAAAAATGATAATTTTAACAAGCCAATTCTTCTATCAACAAAAAATCAACTTAGAACATATAATATTTATCAAAAATAACCATCCATTGTCGTGTAATATCCACAAAACAATTTTAAACATCTCTATAAGGGGCTCCATCTTCCATTCAAATTAATGCAAATAAATAAGTAATAAAATATTAAAGATGGTTTCAATTTTACCAAAAATTGCAATCACTCTAAACTTCAAATTTAAAATTGGTGAGAGAGAGAGAGAACTGAGAAGATTAGGGTTTAATAATTTCTATATTTCATTAAATACTAGATTAGAAATTGATAAGATATAAGACTAGGATTAAAATCTTTAATATCCTACAAATTTTTATTTAATATATAAAACATTAATTATCAAATATTTTTAAATAATATATATACATAGCAAAAAACCTAGGCCCGGGCCTTAACAAAAAACCTAGGCCCAAATCCGAATTTTCTGAGCCGGGTCGGGCTGAAATGATCACCCCTACATGTGGGTGTCATGTGATGATAATGAAAAAAGTTTGACATTTTGAGAAAAAGTTTAGATGATTTAGCAGTTACTGGTTCTTTCAAAAAAAAAAAAAAAAAAAAAAGAGTTAGATAGTCGCTGAAATGGATGAAGTAAATGACTTTTTGTTTTGGTTAGAAATAAGTGAATGAATTCAGCCACCACTATGTGGGAATCTTCATACCTCGTCAGGCCTATATAGAGGTTTCTAAAAACTCTTAGGGATCACGGCCTCCATTAATCCCCTAGTTTGTCTGGAGTGATGTAGCAAATGTAAGCCATCTAGATCTTTCTAAGTTGGCTGGTTCTAGCCTCTAATCTCCAATCCAGAGTGGCCCTATACCCCTCCCCCCAATCAAATCGCCGTTTCCCCACCAGATTTATATCAACAGCTTGAAATTATAATCTTTTTTTTTTTTTTAACATGAAACTTGTCAAAGGAAAGACCCTTTTTGTATTCGACTAAATTGCCACGTGGAAAGATTCATGGTTGTGATTTGTGAAGCTCACTGAACTCATTGAAACTTTATATTATTACCATTCCATTAATAAATTATTAGTTGTTGCAGCATCAGGAACGTGAACCCGCGATATCACAGCAGCTAATATCTTAAATGATTCATGAATGCCTCCAGAGCCATTCTGCAGATCTGATCACTTCTGCCACTCATCATGAAACCCTAGAAGAATAATCACAAACTGATAATTATAAAATTATCACATTAATCATTCAGTTCTCATTCACTTCTGAAAAATAATTTCTCTCTCTCTCTGTTGTATGCAAAAATTTAAGCAATCAGAATTCAGAAGTCCATGATCCGAAGTTTAGATTAATTTTGGCTACATTAGCTGTAGATTATTGTACCCAAACATGTCGGCAGTTTCTTAAATGGGACTCATTTAATGGTGGGTCTCCCATCTTCTGTGCATGGGAACTCTTAATTCTTCCAGCAACGCATCTCTAGACTCTTACCTTACTAAATTAAGCGATTAATTGTGAGTTTTAAACTAATTATCAGGAATAATTACGACTTTTGATGTCAACAGAGTCAACTCCTACAAATCTCGATATTAGCAACAGGAACCATCCATTCTCGAATTTAGAATTAATTCACTCTCCCCAAAAGTCCAAAACAGATTTAGACTTTTGATGAACTATTAAAAGTACTTTTATCTCTCAACAAATTCATCACCTAGGAGGGGAGAAAATAGCTGTGTAAAGTGTAAACTCACTATTATAACACGTGGTGCATGTGCAGAGTCTCTACATCCATCAGCCGATAATGGGCCCCACGTTGATCAGAATGTTGTTTATGCTGTTGGACCAATCCATCATCCTGTTAAGTTATAGGGGACTCGGTATCCATGGAATGGGCTTTTGCCAGGTGTAATGATGTTGGGGATTATGATGGGTGGATGGAGTTCTGTATCATTCAAGTGGTGGGTAAAGTTGACGACAGGATTCATAAAGCCATGAGGAGGAGGGATTAGGGAGAGGCTTTCTACTATCTACTATCTACTTTCTACCTTCTTACATTCTGGGTTAATAAAGCGGGTCGTCGGTAAAGCCAGAGAGAGAGAGAGGCTTCTCTTTGACACCACATGATTAGCTGTTTCCTCCGGCCTTCCCAATTTATTGAGCTCTGTCCCTGTGGGCGTCAGAAAGGAAAGCCATGAGAAGCATCTCCGGCCAACCCCACCCCTTTCACTTGCACCATTGATATGGAACATCTGGACCCACAGAATCCAAATGGGTCCCACCCCACATGATCCCTTCTATTAAATCTGCACCCATGATGCCCCAAACCTCACTGTCTTCTTTGTACTCCTTCAACATACATGTCTACTCACACTCAATTTGGATGGTCAGGATGACTCAAATCCATGCATGAGCCTTGGTATTTGGCTGTGTACCCAATTGACTTGCCATGTTGGTGGGACCCTCTATTGTGCCAATACAGGCCAGTAGATGACTTCCACGTGTATACATCACAGAAGGTTGACAACAAACGATCTCTCCTAGTCTCTACACTAAAGTGTATACAGTTAAAGGTATTACACTATTACTTTCTTCATTAATTAATGTGCCTAACTTGTTGTTTCGCTCTCAAAACTCTCACGCCACCATTAGTCCCTCCACCACGTACTCAGACGTCTCGAACTCTTCAACGCGGTTTCTCTTCTTTCCAATTTTACCTCTTGAAAGCAAAAACCAGAGAAATACTCTCTCCCATCCCCTCACTACAATAGACTGAAGGGAGAAAAAGAGCAACAGAGAGAGACAGAGAGAGGGGCAGAGAGGGAGATGGGCATCTCTGCCAAGGCCAAGAGCGGCGGCGATGGCTGGGGCTTGGGTCTTCTCTTAGTTTTCTTCCCGGAGGACGAAAACGATGACATCGAGAAGAAGACAAAGCTTCTCTCTTGTTCTTCTTGTTCTTCCTCACCTTCATCATCCTTCAAATCTACTGGTTCTAGTAGATGTGGCAATCATAATCTTCTCATTAATAAAGCTCAATCAACAATGTCCATTTGTGCTCTTATAGTCTTCTTCACTCTCCTCGTCTTCACACTCTGCACTTTCGAACCCACAACCAATGCCATTAATTCTCTTTCTCAGCCCAGCACCAGACCACCCAGAAGATGGCTCGCCGAGAATTCCAAGGACTACCAACGTTATATGAGCAGGAAGAAGCGATCCTCCCTGTCTTCTTCGTGGTTTGGGACACTTTGGAAGGGCGGAGTTCGTAATCAGAATTCCAGTTTAGCTTCGGATTCTTCGATTGCTTTGCAAAGAATGGGGACATTGTTCAGGAGAGGAACCAGAGCAATGAGTGATCTTGTTGTCGCGCATGTCAAGGAGGATGTTACAGATGATGAGCTTCGTTTGTTTATGAGGACTCTGCACCGATCTGGTCTCACTGCGAGGTCTGATGTCGTGCTCGTCTTTCCTTCTTTGTCTTTGGCTTCCACCCCTGGCATTCCTTCGAATTTTTCTTCTGTAATTCGGGAAGAAAACGAGTCGTTCCTGAGACTCGTCCGTCATTTTAGAGGCAATAAAAGTTCGACTCCTGGGTCGGTGGTGGGTTTCGATGTAACCCAGTTTGTGAAATCGGATAAGAAGCAGAAGCAAGCGGCAGAGCCATTGTGGGGACGGAGGACTCACGGGAATTACAGTGGTCCAGAAGCTGGTGGTGGAGAAGACGAGTTGAGTTGGGGATCGGTGGTGGGTTTTGACGCGGCGGAGCTTGATCCAGAGAACTCGCTCGCCGGGTTCTTAGATCATGTCCCAATGGCACTTAGGAGGTGGGCATGTTACCCGATGCTACTCGGCCGAGTCCGGCGGAACTTCAAGCACTTAATGCTGGTGGATGTCAAGAACGTTTTGGTTCTAGGAGACGCACTTTCCCGAGTCAGGAACCGGAATTCCGAGACAGTCTACTTATCGGCGACGGCGACAACAGAGAATGCGCACGGAAAGCACGGCCGAAGGAACTCGGAGAAAACTCAGTCTCGTAACCAAAAAGACTCCAAGCTATTGAACCCAGAAGTAATAATGGGTGGAACTCGAGGCGTCCGGCGGTTATCGAACGCGATGTTAACGGCGATTGTGAGAGTCTCAATGCAACAAAAGAGCAAGGCCTCTGTCTCCGAGTCGGGGCTCTTGAATCAACTCGTTCAAAATGGCCTTTTACTGAAGAACATAGAGTTGATCAGAGCAACAGAGTCCATTCCAGATTCGAGTTCACTCACGAATCAGAAATCAAATTCTTCTTCACCATCATCATCTCACTCAATTGTTCATCATGGTAATCATGGTAATAGTAACATCAATCTTAAGTCCATTCTTCTCAGAGAACTGTGTTCATCTGTAATAGGATTAAGTTCTTCCGTTTATAGAGATTGTTAACAGGAAACACAAATTAGATTCACATAGTTTTTCCTTTTTTTTATTTAGGTTCTTCTCCAAATACTGTAATCAAATAACGTTTTGAGAAAAAAAAAATCTCTCTTTTTCTTGCCTTCTTTTTTCCAGTTTTTGTATTGGGATTTAAGACTTCTTTTTAATTCTGTTCTTTATTCGCATCTTAATTGGTATGTAGGCTTTTGATAATTGGGAATTTGGACCGACAGAGTGAGCCAAGTTAGACGAGTCAACTCGCTTAGTGAACCGAGTTTGTACAGTGGACAAACTCCATACACCCCCCTAATACTAGTGGGGCTGTTTCACTTTAACTACCTAAACCCTAATTTTTGTAGATCCTCCATTCCTCCCCTTCCCAAGTTAAATCAAATAAACACATTCTGTCGAAGTAGGGAAAAATAAAAAATGCCCTCTTATGTCACGTGATTTATCAGACATGTTCAAATGCTCAAATTACCCTTTTTAGGCATTTATTTTAAGAAACGGAAACTACTAGAACAAAAAGGAAAAGAATCATCCAAAAGGGTAATTTGGGCATTAAAAATTTCTATGTAATAGAATCAAAATAACCAAACTGAGTATATAGGTTCTGGTTCTCTGGTTTTTGTCCACATTAATAATTGGGTTGGAATCTGTTCTTATTGTTTCCAACTGATTAAGGCTTGAATCAATTATAAGTTAATAATACATAAATATTTTTTTTGGGTTTTCTTGTAATTTTTGTTATATTTTATGTCACAATCATTTTAGTGAGATTATATTATCAAAAATACAATTTCAAGTTGTCATTATCATAAATAATGATAGATGTCAAGTATAATGGGCCAATTGGGTCGAATCACATCAGACCGGATTAATAATTGGTTCATTTTTGGGTCTATTTTATAGAACTGATTAATAATTGATTTGGAATTGATCCACTCTGTCCGGATCCAGACCCTCTCCATTTGACAACTCACAAGTGTAGCTTGTGTAGTTGTGTATATGATGTTTTCCCTATTTTATAGTGTCAATAGAATAAATATCTCAAATGGGTCCAGTTTTACAGATCAGACCAATTCGAACGAGTGGTTTAAGAATTAAGATACCTATCCCAAACGGGCCCCCCAGATTATACGGTTGTTCTATTCAGTATCATTGATGGGGCGTTAATTGTATCAAGGACTGAAAATGAGAAGTGAAGAATGAATGGCTTCAGGGTCTGTTTCTGGGGAGATRAGAAGAAGAAAAGTTGAGAAATAGAGAGGAGGAGGAGGTGAAAGGAGGGAGAGTCATGGAGGGAATGTGAGGCAGAGGAGTTAGGGAGTAGCGACCGCATTGATTAAGCCCATGTGAAGATCTTTTAGCTGCTTTAATGGCTTTTGCTTAAAGAAAGTGCTAATTAAGAGGCCTGTTTTCTTTGATGCTTTTGGCTTTTACTTTTTTACCAACACAACTACCAAAAAGACCCAGCCGCATCAGAAAGCAGTTACTCGGTTGCTTTGCACGGTGGTTTTTGGTTTCCAAAACGATTAATACAATAAGAATATAATAATGCTTTTCTTATGGAAGGTGTGGTAACTGAGTTACCATAAAAAAGTTGAAATTTGTTCTGGTTTTAATGGGTAGTTGGTATTGATGAGGTGCTTTGATACTCCCAATACTGATATCTTTCCTTCTATGAAGGCTGACTGACATTTTAATACAAGCATTGACGGGTTGACTCTTCTCTCTCTCTGTTAGGGTTCTAAATTAGAAATGACGAAAAGCAGGTAGGTTGGTGATGGATCTTGCATTCCATATATTTGTATTTGCACTATTTCCAAATGGAGTCTTATGCTGCCTTTGGAAATGATGTAAATGGAGTGTAAATTTTGGTTTAGGGTAAATTTGTATTCTGGTTTATTTTTRCTTGTGTTTGACAACCTTACATTTATTGTATTGACAAACGACATATCAATGCATATTTAYATTGATAATAATTTGTAAAAGTACATTAATAAAAAAGAAGTAAATTTGAATTCAAGTGGGCGTTTGATTRAAAAAAAAGCATATGCTTTATTGGAATTCATGTTTGCATCCATTATAGCTAAAAATCTGTTTGGTAAGAAGGTAAATTTGTTAGTGCAAAACTAACCCAATTTTATAATTTATATAAACCATAGTTTTTAAAACCGAACCGGTCAGGGGTTCGGTTACCAGTTCGAATGCTCAGCCCATTCTGACAAAAAAAATAAAAAAAATTGAAAAAACGGTCAAAACTGTTCGAACGGTTAACCAGATGGTTCAGTTGTTTGCTGACCAAAATCAATGATTTTGGGAAAAAATGGAACCAATCAGGTGACCAGTTCCCAGTTTTTCCGGTCTGACCATTCAATCCAGTCCAGTTTTAAAAACCATGATATGAACCATTTTACACTCTACATATTTGCATTCACACTTATTTGCATCATCTACAAACACAGTCTTAATGGCTGAAGCTGAAACTTTGACTGTTATATTTGTATTTGCACTATATTGCATTCCATAAAATATTAAAGAATAACATTTTAACATTTAATTATTTTATTCACTAAAAGACAAAACAATAACTCATTCAGTTCAGAAACTTCAGCTATTATTAAATAGCCCCCGATTCTTACCCACCCTCTATAAATGGGTAGTTAAGGTTTTAAATTAGAAGGATGAAAAAAAAGCAGGTGATTTGGCAATGAATCCTCTCTCTCTGCGTTGTCTTAGTCTGACCTTCTATAAATTGGTTAGGGTTCTAAGAACAGGTGAGTTGGGAATGGATATGATGAAGAAAAGGGAAAATTGGGTTCACATTAATTGAAGATTGAACGGTGAAGAAAAGAAAGTGCACGTTGATTGATCAAGATTGAAGGGTACAAATGGGGATTGATTGACAACCTATTGTGCTATAAATGGCCCAAATTTCATGTCGAGTAAATGATGCCAACCCCTTTATTGAGTGAGGCTAAATGTTATTGATCACGGAATAAAGATACCATAGATGTGATGTTCAAGTCCTATGGTGGTCCACTGTTTCATCTAGCAAAAATTAACACTGATTACTATATTATCCTTGAGTCTAAAGCAAGGATCAAAATCTTGCTAGGCATCAGCTTGTATCGGCTAATATGTATTGTATCAGGGTTTTTCCGATATTTTCATACAAGGAGTGTATCCCGTCAGGCCATGATTCAGATGATAATCCGAATTTAAACTGATTCCTTTAAATCGATCTTAAAAATAAATAAATAAAACATAAAAATATGGATACAAGCCGATACATCCTACTCATATTTAGTACCTTGCTCTAAATTATCTGAACAATCCAATTTATCTCTAGTGATTGCACAAATCGAGTCAGTCCAAACTATAAGACAAGACTCCGACACATATAATAGATACCACCTTTAGGATATAATCCAAACAACAAAAAACACGTGTCAGCATATGATTTCAAATGGGGTGTGCCAAAGCATCAAGGATGAACACCCAATATTTAAATTTACTTAAACTACCTATGTGTTTTCTTACAAATTCTTAAACCTCCCCAGTGTATTGATTTCCCCCAAAAAAACTTCTCTTTATTTTTCAAATAAATACGCAAATACACCCCCTTAAAGTTTTTAAATCCTATTTTTTATTCAGGAAAAACTTTATTGGAATAAAGATTTATTAAATTACCTCCCAAAAGGTGGTTCACTCTATTTAAATGGGTTTTATCGTTTGCTTCATTGAGTGTACAATAAAGGCAAGAGAACCAGGTTGCTCACTCTCTTGCTAAATTTTGTGTCCATCACTTAGGCTCAGTTTGGAAAGAATATAAATACAAATATATATAGTGTAAATATATACAAAATACAAAGATTTTGTATTTATACTCTTATTTAGGCTGTATTTAATTGCAGTGCAAATAAATTTGTATCGATGTAAAATTATAGTAGTGCAAATGATTTGGATGCAAATTTTGATTTATTTTTATTTCAATGTTTACTTTATTTTATTTTATTATAATACAAGTAAAGTAAAATAAGACCTGAAGATACAAAACAAAATTAAACTAAAATAAAGATAAAAGAGATGGTGATTAATCAAAGTTACAGTTGAACACGCATTTGTATTATAAATATGCAGTTATGAATAAATTAGACCTAACACAATTTCAAATAAAAAAACTTATTTGAAAATTGAAATATGACTGGAGCAAGGTTTTTGAAGTAAGGTTTTAAAAACTGGATTGGGCACGGAACTGTTTTAGTTATCAGTTTTTAGGTCAAATGGTTCAATTGTTCAATTTGAACGGATAGCCTGTTCTGATTGGTTTGTCCGGATCGATAATTCAACTGTCTGGGTTAGTGGGTTGCTGACCAAATCAATGGTTTTTGACCTATGAACAATTTTAGGGTGAAAAGAAACTGATTGCTGACTGGTTTCTGGATCAACCAGTCTGACCATCTGGTCTAGTCTAATTTTCAAAATCATGGGTTTAAGCATTTGCTGAAAATAATGAGGTTTAACTAATTTTTGTTTTTTTAGCTTTTTCTTTGTATGGAGCTCCAGTTTTTAGTTTTTGTTTTGAGGTCTCATGCCATTGTCATTATTAATAAAATTTATTCTCTTTTAAAAAGACAAAAAAAAAGTTTAACTAATTTTTTTCTTCGATGATTAATTGACCTTCATATTATTTTATATTAAGAGGTGGGTTCATGTCTTGATGGGACCTGATGAGAGAGAATGAAAACAAACAACAATAACCTCTACCACAATTTAGGGGTGAGCAAGAAAAACTGAAAAATTGAACCGATCGAAATTAAACTGAAAATTCATTTAACCGAATCGATCAAAATTAACCAAATATGGATTATATATAAATATATATTTATAATATATAATATATTATTTATTATTTAAAATATAATATTATATATATATATATATTTCTAGTGTTTTATTATATATTTATATATTTTTTCTATAATATATATTATAAATAATAA